ATCCATCTGGAGTTTATTTTTGTGTATACTGTAAGTTGATGGTCCTGTTTCATTCTTTTGCATGTGGCTGTCCAAATCTCCCAACACAATTTTGAAGAGGCTCTTTTAACTCCATTTTATGCTCCTGTCCCCCTCAACAAATATTAATTGATCATAGAGACATGGGTTAATTTCTGGGCTCTTTATTCTGTTCCATTGATCTATGTGTCTAATGTTATGCCAGTTCCAGACTGTTCTGATTACAGTGGCCTTGAAATAGTTTTATATCATGTATTGTGATCCCTCCTACTCTATTCTTCTTTCTTAAAATTGCTGCAGCTATTCACAGTCCTTTACAGTTCCATATACATTTTTGAAATATTTGATTCATATCTGTGAAATATGTCATTGGTGTTTTAATAAGGATTTTGTTGAATCTATAGATTGCTTTGGGTAGCATGTACATTTTGATGATCTTAAATCTTCCAATCCAGGAACATGGAATATGCTACCATTTATTTATATCTCCCTTAATTTCTTTCTTCAGTGATCTGTAGTTTTCTGAGTATAGGTTTTATCTCCTTGGTTAGGTTTCTTCCCAGGAACTTTATTTTTCTTGTTGCTATAGTAAATGTTTTTTTTCCTGGTTTCTGTTTCTTATATTTTATTGTTGGTGTACAAAAATGCCTTCGACTTCTGAATATTGATTTTGTATCCCTCTGCTTTGCCAAATTCACTCATCAGGTTGAGTAATTTTTTGGTGAAGGCTATAGGATTTTCTATGCACACTATCATGTCATCTGCAACAAATGACTGTTTTACTCCTTCCTTTCAAGTTTGGATGTCTCTTATTTCTTTTTCTTGTCTGATCACTGTGGCATAGTATTTCCAATACTATGTTGAATAGAAGTGGTGAAAGTTGATATCCTTGTCTTGTTCCTGATCTTAGTGGGAAAAATTTTAGGTTTTGCCCATTGAATGTGATGTTGGCTGTAGGTTTCTTGTATATGTCCTTTGTTATATTGAGGTATGATCCCTCTACTCCCAATTTGCTGAGTGTTTTTATCATAAGGGGTGTTATACTTTTTCAAATACTTTTTCAGCTTCTATTGATATGATCATTTGGTCTTTTTCATATTGGTTATGTGATGTATTATATTTATTGGCTTGAGTATATTGTACCATCCTTGCATCCCTGGGATGAATCCCACTTTATCATTGTGTATGATCTTTTTAATGTATTGCTGGATGCAATTTGCCAATATTTTCTTGAGGATTTTGGCCTCTATGCTCATCAGCAATATTGGCTTCTAGTTTTCTTTCTTTGTTGTGTTTTCATCTGTTTTTTTTCTTTGTATTAGGATGATGCTAGCCTCATAAAAAGATTTTTGGATTCTCCCCTCTTCTTGAAATTTTTGGAATTGTTTGAGAAAGATTGGGATTAACTCTTCTTTAAATGTTTTGTCAAATTGTCCTCTGAAACCATCTGGTCCAGGGCATTTGTGTGCTGTACGTTTTTTGACTACTGCTTCAATTTCACTAGCTGTTATCAGTCTGTTCATACTTTCTGCTTCTTCTGATTCACTTTTGGAAAATTATATGTTTTAAAATATATTCATTTCACCTAAGTTTTTAATACTTTGTATTTCTGTGGTATCAGTTGTAACTTCTCCTCTTTTGCTTCTGTTTTTTTTTTTTGTTTAGGTCCTCTCTCTTTTTTTCTTGATTTGAGTCTGCTTAAAAGCTAGTTGATTTTGTTTATCTTTTCAAAGAACCAACTCCTGGATTTATTGACCTTTGAATTATTCTTTTAGTCTCTATATCATTTTATTCTTTTGTGATTTTCATTATTTTCTTCCTTCTCATTCTGAACTTTGTTTGTTATTTTTCCTCCAGTTCTTGTAGATGCAGTGTTAGATTGTTGGGTTGTTTTTTTTTTTTTTTTTAGACTTTGCTGTATTTTTTATGTAGGCCTGTATCAATATGAACTTCCCCCTCAGGGCTCCCTTCCCTGTGTCCCATAAGTTTTGGACTGTTGTGAGTTCCTTTTAATTTGTGTCCAGAAACTTTTGATTTCTTCCTAGATCCTACTAATAACTCATTCATTGTTTAATAGTACACTAATCAGTCTCCATGAATTTGACTCTTTTTGAGGGGTTTTTTTTTCATTTAGGTTGGTTTCTAGTTTCAAGCCCTTGTTGTCTGAGAAAATGTTTAATATAATTTCAGTTTTTTAAAATTTATTGAGTTTTGTTTTGTGTCCTATCATGTGCTGTATCTTTGAAAATATTCCATGTGTATTTGAAAAGAATGTGTATTTTGCTTCTTTGGGGTGAAAGGTTCTGCATATATGAATTAAGTCCATTTGATCTAGAGTATCATTCAGTGTCACAATATCCTTGTTGATATTTTGTTTGGAAGATATATCCATTTTTGATAGTGGGGTGTTAAAATCTCGCTTTAGTGTGTTGTTGTCAATATCTTTTTTGAAGTCCTTCAAGGTTTTCCTTATATATTTGGGTGTTTCTATATTGGGTGCATATATATTTATAATGTTTATGTGTTTTTGATGGATTTTTCCCTTGAGTATTATGAAGTGTCCTCTTGGTCTCTTTTTATGGCCCTTGTTTTGAAGTCTATTTTACCTGTTATGTGTATTGCTTTTTTTCCTGTTTTCTTGAAATATTTTCTTCCAATATTTCACTTTCACACTGTGTAGGTAGTTTTTTCTCAGGTGGGTCTCCTTTTTTAAGTATACTTTATTGATTATGCTATTACAGTTTTTCCAGTTTCCCCCCGCTTTATCCCACCTCCACCCTGCACCCCCCAACCCTCTAGCATCTCCCCCTTAGTTCATGTCCATTGGTTGTACATGTAAATTCTTTGAGTTCTCTGTTTCTTACACCATTTTTATTTCTCCCTATCTATTTTATGCCTACCAATTATGCTTCTTCTTTCCTATGCATTCTCCCCCTTATTTCTCCTTTCTCCCTCCCCACTGAAATCCTTCCATGTGATGTCCATTTCTCTGATTCTGTTCCTGTTCTACTTGTTTTCATTGTTTTTCTTTTCTTCTGGGTTTGTTGACAATTGTGAGTTTGTTGTCATTTTACAGTTCATATTTTTTATCTTCTTTTTCTTAGGTAAGTCCCTTTAGCATTTCATATAATAAGGACTTGGTGATGACGAACTCCTTTAACTTGACCTTATCTAGGAAGCACTTCATTCCATTCTAAAAGAAAGCTTGGCTGGATCAAGTAATCTTGGATGTAGGTCCGTGCCTTTAATGACTCAGAATACTTCTTTCCAGCCCCTTCTTGTCTGCAAGGTTTCTTTTGAGAAATCACCTGACAGTCTTATGGGAACTCCTTTGTAGGTAACTGTCTCTTTTTCTCTTGCTGCTTTTAAGATTCTTTCCTTATCTTTAACCTTGGGTAACTTAATGATGATATGCCTTGGTGTGTTCCTCCTTGGGTCCAAGTTCTTTGGAACTCTCTGAGCTTCCTGGACTTCCTGTAAGTCTATTTCCTTTGCCAGATTGAGGAAGTTCTCCTTCATTATTTGTTTAAATAAGTTTTCAACTTCTTGCTCTTCCTCTTCTTCTGGTACCTCTATGATTCAGATGTTGGAATGTTTAAAGATGTCCTGGAGGTTCCTAAGCCTCTCACCATTTTTCTGAATTCTTGTTTCTTCATTCTTTTCTGTTTGAATGTTTCTTTTTTCTTTCTGGTCCACACCATTGGAGAGTTCCCAAAAACTCTCGTATGAGACTGGGAGTTTCTCCCACCATGACAACCACCATAGTTCACAGTCAGCTCTAAGTTTCAGTTTCCCATTCAGCCAGCCCCACCTGCATGGTCCACTACATCACTGAGGTTTCTCTCAGCCAGCCCCACCTGCACAGTCTGCCACCTCACCATGGGTTCTTACCAGTCTGGTTGGTCTGTTTGACTGTTTCTTTAATTCCTTATTTGTCAGAGTTCCATGCAGTTTGATTTTTCTGGCACTTCTGGTTGTTTACTGATTTCAGATTGGTTGTTATCTTCCTTTTGGTTGTGCAAGGAAGCAGAGGGTTTCTACCTACACTTCCATCTTGGCTGGAACTCCAAATGCTCAGGTGGGTCTCTTGTGGGCAGCATATGTCTGGGTCACTTTTTCTTATCCAGTCACCTACCCTATGTCTTTCAGTTAGAGCACTTAATCCATTTACTATTAAGGTTATTATTGATAGGTACTTATTGATTGCCATTTTATTATCTTCATACCTGTGTTCCTCTAGCTCTCACTGTTTTTCTTCCTCTTGTTAAAGCAGTCCCTTTAGCATATCTTGGAGTGCTGGTTTGGTGGGGGTGTATTCTTTGAACCTTCTTTTTTTCTAGGAAACTCCTTATTTCACCTTCCATTTTGAGAACCATGCTGGGTAGAATATTCTTGGTTGCAGATCTTTGCTTTTCATTACTTGGAATGTTTCTTGCCATTCTCTTCTGGCTTGCAGTGTTTCTGTTGAGAAATCAGCTGCTAGCTTTATCAGGGATCCCTTGTATTTTAATTCCTGTTTCTCCCTTGGTGCCTTTAGGCTTCTTTCTTTGTCTTTGTATTTTGCTATTTTAATTATGATGTGTCTTTGAGTATGTCTTTGGGTTCCTATTGATTGGGACCTTCTGTGCTTCCTGGACTTGTTTGACTTTTTTTCTTATCAAGTTATGGAAGTTTTATTTCACTACTTTTTCAAGCAGGTTTTTTTTCCCTTACTCCTCTTCTCCTTCTAGTATCCCAATTATATGGTATTACTACATTTCATGTTGTCCTTCAGCTACCTTAATCTCTCTTCATTCTTTTTGAGTCTGTATTCATTTTGTTGCTCTGTATAGGGATTTTTTTCTACCTTGTCATCCAGCTCACTAATTTTTTCTCCTGTCTCATTTAACCTAGTTTTAATTCCTTCTGATGTGTTCTTCATTTCAGATATTGCATCTTTCATTTCCTCCTGGGTCTTATTGATAATTTCCATGTCCTTTCTCATGTTGGTGTTTTTCACAGTAGATTCCTTGCAGTAACCATGAAGTTCTTTGTAGTTCTCACTGTGCTCCTTGGCCATCCTTATAACCAATATTTTGATGTCTGAGTTTGGTTTTCTCAATTTTGTTTAGCTGTCTTTTGGGGGATTCCTCTTTTCCTTTTGATTTGGTTTATTTATTTGTCTTCTCATTTTATGTGACTTTTCTTGTTTGTTTCTGCATATTAGATGTATTTTCTTTGACTCCCTGTCTTCATGGTGGGCATTTCTGTGGTAGGAGACATGTGGGACTCAGTGGTGCAGTCCCCTTGATCTCCTGTGCTTCATGCTCTTGGGCTGAACTTTATGCTGTTCATATGGGCTCCTTGGTATAATTGGGTTTTTGTTGTTGGGTCATTCTTTGTTGGTTCCTTCCTTCCAGCTGGCTGACTCGGGCCACTCCACTCATCACATGTTGTACACTATTGTACAGGTACTACCAGAACAAAAATCAAATGCCCAGGAAGCGAATTCACACTTCAAAAAATGACCCCCACCCACAATCACACTATTAACAGCAAATGAGCCAACATTAATAAATATGTAAAAAGATTAAGACTAAAGAAAGGAAAAATGAATATGAGATGACTAACTGCTTGAAAAGTGATTTTGCAAAAGTAGAGACAGTACAGAAAGACGCATTAATAAGAGTAGGAAATAGAAACAAGGTTAAGAGACAAAGAAAATAAAATTTATATCGTAAATAAAAAGGGAAGAGGGAAAGTGGAATGGAGTCAGAGAAGGGAAGTGTATAGTACTAGGTTTAAACTCAGATTTTATATATATATTAAAAAATATATATGTATTTTACACTGCTGCATAGTCTTCCATTGTGTAAATTTACCACATTTTTCTGATCCACTCATTTACTAATGGGCACTTAGGCTGTTTCCAGCACTTGGCTATTATAAAAATGCTGCTGTGAACATGGGTGCATAAGTTCTTTTGTGTTGGTGTTCCAAGATGAAACTCATGATGGATAAACTGTACTTGAACAACAATAAAAAAGAAGAAATAAATGTTCTTGAATAGGGAAAAAGATAAAAATTATACCTTAAAAAGACATAAATATAAGTCATGACATCATAAAAGTCCTAGAACAAAACATAGTTAGGAAAATTTCAGATATCCCATGCAGCAATATTTTCACCAATTCATTCTCTAGGGCAAGGGATATAAAGAAAAGACTAAACAAAAGGGAGTTCAGCAATATAAAAAGCTTCTGAAGGCTAAAGAAAACATCAACAAAATGGAAAGGGAGCCAACCATATGGGAAAACATATTTCCCAATGATATCTCAGACAAAGGTTTGATCTCCAAAACCTGTAAAGAGCTCATGTGACTCAACACCAGGAAGACAAACAGTCCAATTAAAAAATGGGGAATGGATCTGAACAAACACTTCTCTAAGGAGGGCATACAGAAGGCACATAGATATTTGAAAGAATTGCCAAGATCACTAACCATCAAAAAGGTGCAAATTAAAACCACTATGAAATACTACTTCACACTGGTCAAAATGGCCATCATTAGCAAATCAACAAACAAGTGCTGGTGGGGATGTGAGGAAAAAGGAACATTGGTGCACTGTTGGTAGGATTGCATACTGGCACAGCCACTGTGGAAAACAGTGTGGAATTTTCTCCAAAAATTGAAAATGGAACTGCCTTTTGATTCAGTGATCCCACTGCTGAGCTTATACCATATGTCATATTTTAAACATGTATCTCATTCATTATATTGTAAGTATCCACATGACTAAAAAAATTAAGAAGTATGTTTTAGTAGGGAAAAAGGACTGAAAACCAGAATCAATTAGATTTAAATACTGAAGTTGATAAAACATATTTCTCTCTACTATGACAACTTGGATTTAGATGGGTTATTAGAAATTTTAAAATACTTTCCTCACTAAATGATGGATACACTAACTTCCATTATACATTTTAATTAAAATTAAATAATATTGAAGAATGCTTTAAAATTTTTATCTTCTTGAAAAAAGTTAATTTCAATATTCTATGGTGTAATCTGTTTCCAAAATGTTCCCATAAATACATTCTCTATTCTCAATTATATACATTAAGACTCAAAATAAAGAAATTAACATTTTAGCAAAACCCAAGAAGCCACTTTTTTCTTAAATTGAAGGTATTGGGGGTGACATTGGTTAATAAAATTATTTAAATTCAAGAAAAAAGCACCACATTATGATATTAAATGTTCCTTATCCACATTCCATGACTTAAATACAGAAAGCAATAACCAAGGTCTTGATATTCCTAATGTTTTAATCCTCAGGTATAAGAGGGTGGAAATAATATGATTTGTCTTATGGAGTTTTGTGATGATTAAAAAGGTAACAAGGATGACCTATAACAACTCCTGCTTTAGATAAGTTCAGTAAATGTTAAAGGCAGAATGAGAATAATGAATAATGTTGAATCCCCCCCATTCTTTTGATACAAAATAACCTAAGTAATGCATTTAAAAATAATGTCATAGGTGTTCTTAAGAATGGTAACCTTAAATATTTTTCCTCTTAGTGTAGAATGTTCCAGAATCTCAAAGCCTCTAACATCACTAAGCTCCAAGTCTCTGAATTCATTCTGATGGGATTCCCAGGCATTCACAGCTGACAGCACTGGCTGTCCCTGCCCTTCACTTTGCTTTACCTCTTAGCTCTCAGTGCCAATATTTTTATCCTGATTGTCATCAATCACGAGCCAACATTGCACCAGGGAACCATATTTCCTGGGCATCCTTGCTGTGGTAGACCTGGGCCTAGCTTCCACTGTCACACCAAGGATATTGGCCATCTTATGGTTCAATGCTAAGGCCATCAGTCTCCTTGAGTGCTTTCTGCAGATGTATTTCATACATTGTTTTATGGCCATGGAGTCAGGTGTCTTAGCCTGCATGGCAATAGATAGATATGTAGCTATTTGTCGATCACTACACTATCTATCAATAATTAGTGAATCTTTTTTGGTCAAGGCAACTGTGCTCATGGCACTCAGAAACACCCTTACTGCAATCCCAGTGCCTCAGAGACACTACTGCTCCCAGAACCAAATAGAACATTGTTTGTGCTCTAATTTTGGTGTCACTAATCTATCCTGTGATGACAGGACAATCAACAGAATCTACCAGCTACTTCTGGCCTGGTCAATCATGGTATGTGATCTGGGTTTGACTATTTTTTCATATGCTTTGATACTTCACTCTGTGCTGAAGTTGAACTCAGCAGAAGCTGCATCCAAGGCCCTAACTACCTGCACATCCCACTTAATTCTTATTCTATTCTACTATACATCTGTCATTATTCTTCCCATCAGTAACTATGCAGCAGTGACAGTTCCCGTCATTCCAGTGCTACTCACTGTACTAGAGATTGCCATTCCTCCTGCCCTCAACCCCATGGTGTATGCACTCAAAAACAAAGAGCTGCGGCAGGCTCTGTATAAGCTTCTTAAGCTGCTACATGTCAATAGAAACTAACATAGAAAAGCTATTCATTTACATACTTTCATTACATATTTCTTTGATACATTCTCTAACTGCTGCAAATGGCAGAAGAACTAAGGAGCATGGACACTGTGGCAGCTTTTCAGTTAGTATAATTAATCAGTGATTATAAATGAATCCTCAAAAGGAAAGTGGTATAACTAATATTTAAAATTTTTGTTATCAAGTAAAATTTATCAAGATAAATAACACAATAATGCTGATTGTCTTAAGGAATTAATGAACAGACAACAACAATATGCATTTTATGTTTTTTACCTAGAACGTCTAGACTATGTTGATTATTCAGTGGTTAGAGAAGATTGATGTTAATGGCTTCATTAATTGGAGAATTTAATTTATGTTATTTGATGAAATTGTTAATAGCATAGGACTTAATCTTGCCATTTATCTTTTTGATTTGTAATGTGTCATATCTTTTTAATTAGACAAAAGAGTTGAATAGACATTTTCTAAAGAAGATGTGCAATGACCAGTAAGCACATAAAAAGATGTTCAATATCATTAGTCAATAGAAAAATTCAAATGAAAACCATAAGATACCAGTACATCCCTTAAACTGGCTGTAATTTGTTTAACTGTCCAGTTTTGGAGATTTTGTGGAAGCAATAGAATCCTAGTACATAGTACATTGCTGGTGGGAATGTAAAATCATACAGGAGATGTGGAAAACAGCATGACAATTGTACAAATAGTTGAGCACAATTATGGTATGACTCAGCAATCCATCTACTAAGTATGCCCAAAATAATTGCGAGAAAATGCTACAACAAAAACATGTAAACAGAGCTGACCCTTGTGGCTCTGTTGGTTGGGTGTTGTCCCACAAAGCAAAGGGTGGCAGGTTCAATTCCTGATCAGAGTACATGCCTGGGTCATGGGTTTGATAACTAGTAGTGGTGCATGTGAAAAGCAACCAATCGATGTTACTCTCTTAGATTGATGTTTCTCCCCCTCTCTTTCTCTATCCCTTCCTTTCTCTCCAAAAATAAATTTAAAAAAAAAAAAACAGGTATACAAATTTTCATGGTAGCATCATTAGCCTAAAATGGAAAAAACCCAAGTGTTTATCAGCTGCTGAATGGACAATCAAATTGAGCATTACCTCAGAATATTATTATTCACCTATAAAAATAATGTAGTGACACATGCTGTCACATGAAACTTGAAAGCATGCTATTAAGTAAAACAAAGAAAAAAAGCAAACACCAAGGGCTACATGTTGTATGTGTTGCACGATTCCACTTATATGGAATGTCCAGAATAGTTATAACCATTGAATCGGAAAGAGGATCAACTTTTTCCAGGCCCTGGAGAGAAAGGTCACTAAGAAATGACTGATTCATGGTTATGGGGCTTCCTTCTGAGGTAATGAAAATGTTCTAACTCTACATAGTGCTGATCGTTGCACAGCATTGCAAACATAATAAAAGACACTCAAATGTACATTTTCAAAAGGTTTAAATGGCTGGTTTCATGACATATGTATTTCACTCCCCCCAAAAGAAGATAAAGTAGAAAAAAACACTGCTAAAGTATTCTCTACATATATATTTGTTGTATAATCTTCTTGAAATAAAAGAATATGTATGTCTAAGAACACAAAAATGGTTAAAGAAATTGTGTAAACACCTGTGATGTACTTTATTTAATCATAATATTACTGAATCATCCTGTTTTGAATGTGATTATTATATAACATTAATTAAAAATGGAGGAATTTTTGTTCTAATATGATAATATCTGAACTTTTAAAAATATATATACCAATGGTATATTAAGAAATGTACCAGAAGATACCTCTACATTATAGAATATTAGTTCTGTTTATCTCTTTCTTATTTTATTTTTTCCACTTAATGAAAATGTACAGGAATGAATCTTACTGTTTAATTAAAGTCATATAAAATTAAATCAGTTATTATATTTTTATTATTGCCAAAATCACCATCATTACATCTCAAAATTTGAGAATCAAGATATTTCTGACATATATGTGTGCATAATACTTGAATTTTTAATAAATTTCCAAAATTACATGATATTCATCTACATTACATGAAAGAAAGATAAACAGATGAACATGTGAATGTGTGTGACAGTGATGGAAACTTTCTGAAACACTTAACTTCTTTACACTTGTGTCCTAAAAAGCATAACCCAGAAAGAAATAAAACTCTTCAATAAATATTAAAATTAATAATTTCCATTATAATTTATTGTATTCATTTTTCCCACTCCTAGTTGTAATTCTCCACACACAAACACCAATATAGATATACATGTAAATGAAATCATTCCCTTATTTGTGGATCATCTTATAGGCAATGAGAATGAAAACTTCCACTCTTTTCCTCCTCTAATAGTTTTTATCTAGATTCCTATATGAGGACCTGTGTCTCTAATATTGTGCAATATCCCCTTAAAATAGACAGCACATTTTTCTTTAAAAATTCAACTCAGTTATATATCAAGAGAATTAGAGGTTGATGGCTGTGTAAGTACAAGGTCTGCCTGGAAAAATTCAACCATTGTTAATATACCAAGGGTGGTTTTCATTACATCAATGTAACATGGCAGCCAAGGAGAGTGGACTGGAATGCATATGTGTGAACAATGATGACTTCACTGTACTAGTCTCTGGGGACAGTAGAGTCTGTTGAGTGAGCATGTGCACTGTGTGGCCATAGCATTAAAAAATGACTGAGCAAGTAGAGCAAAAGATCTGCATCAAATTTTGTGTTAAACCTAAATATTCCTCCACAGAAACTATTCAGATGATTCAGAAGGCCCCAGCTGCGGGCAACTGGTGATTGGCAATTTCATCACCACAATGTGCCCACTCATCCATCATGTCTCACGCAGCACTTTTTTGCAAAGCATAAAATCACCCAGGCGACTCAGTCCCCCTACAACCCAGATTTGGCACCCTGAGACTTCTGGTTCTTCCCAAAACTAAAATCACCTGTAGAAAAAAAAGGCAAAAGATTTAAATGATCTGAAGAGAAACTAGAGTATTAGGGAACCCTAGTGCACTGTTGGTGGGATTGCAGACTGCTGCAGCCACTGCAGAAAACAGTATGGAATTTTCTCAAAAAAACTAAAAATGGAACTGTCTTTTGATTCTACAATTCTACTACTGGGACTAAACCTTAAGAATCCCAAAACACCAATTCAAAAGAACCTATGCACCTCAATGTTCATAGCAGCACAATTTACAGTAGTCAAGTGCTGGAAGCAACCTAAGTGCCCATCAGTAAATGAGTGGATGAAAAACTATGATACATTTGCATGATGGAATACTACACAGCAAAAAGAAAAAAGGAGCTCCTACCTTTTGCAACAGTGTGGATGGAACCAGAGAGCATTATGATAAGTGAAATAAGCTAGGCAATGAAAGACAAATACCATAGGATCTCACCTATAAGTGGTACCTAATCAACTAAGCAAGCAAGCAAAATATAAGCAGAGACAGAATATAAAATTTGAGTTCAGATCTACTCATTCGCCAAAGACTGTTATTCACAACTGCATTTCACTGACTGTTACACACTAGTGTCCTGCCTCCTGTTACAATTAATACTGAATTTTACTATCAACCCTACAAGCCATAACCTAGAAGGCTCATTTATGTACTAGGGAACTGTTGGCAAACAGAATCTTAGGAGAATCTCTGTAATATGACACATCCCAGGCAGTATTTTAAGCCAAGCTTGACTCAGAGAGGCTTTCTCAAATTAAGCAGTATTGTCACAAATTTCCATCCCTCTCACATCCATTTTTATCTCATTTACCTAGTACTAAACCTGTTTTCAGTTACATAACAGGAAAAAAGTGACTTTCTAATGCCCTCTTGTCTGTTGAACCCCTTACCCATTTCTTCCCTTCTAAGTGCACTCATAAACATAGAGGAATCATCTCCAAAAGACATCTTGGCACATATTTTTTACCCTCACAGCTGATATTAAGAACTATATAGACAGATTTTATTTCACTTTTCACACTTATGTATTATTTATATCATAAGATTATGGTGTGTAATATATGCATAATATTTACAAGTATGTACACTTGCTTAATATAATTTTTTAATTAGAAAAACAGGCAAAAAGCAAAACAGATTTGAAGCAAGTATATGTCAAAGATTTTCTACCTCAAGGAACCTGGAACAAGTTTGCCATATTCTATTTTACTACTTGTGTCATTTATTATGTTCGCCTAATGCTAGTAATATTGAAACTCATCATATATCAAGAGGAAAGCTTGCCCCTAAGCTTTTTTATTTATTATAACTGTCTGCTTTCAAATGAAGTTATACCTTCTGAATTTTTAATAATTGAAGATTCACTTTGGGCAGAAACTCTGGTGTATAGAGATTTTTATTCTATATGCTTCGGTGAATGGTTTCATTCACTGCAAAAGAAAAATCTAGATTCGCTAACTTTTGGCCTATTGTAGCTAGATGTTCTAGAAAAAAGATGTACCATTACAACAGATTCCTTCTTACTATTTTTCCTTCCACTATAGCATGCACTCACGTCTACAAATACAAGGCATTATCACGATGTTCTCTGCTTCCTTCCCTTAAATTCCTTCACTATTGGGAGAATTTCAATACAGTCTTCAATGTTTTCTTATCAAGATCAAGATCTACTAAATCTCGATCTACTAGATCTACTAGATCTACTTGATCAAGATCTACTAAAATAGACTGCATCTTTAAAGAAAGCTATATTTCTACTGAGGTAAAGAAGAGCAGAACTGGGAAATAATGCATTTAACAATACAATGTTTTAAATAAACATAAAATTTGACCTTAATTACATAAACTGAAACTTAATACTTTTCTAGTATAAATGATTCTGAAATTGTTCGTGAAATATTTTGAGAACGCAGGAGAGACCTATGTATGCAATGTAGATAAAATTGTTCCGAGAGTTATAAAACTGGAATTGAAGTGTTCTGGGAAGTCA